ATCAATGTGATTCAAGTAGCGATGTTAGGTTAATATATTACAAATTCTAAAGTTATTTTTAAAATAAAGACGAATGATTAAAAAAGTGTCTAAAAGGTATTGACTGACCAAAATAATTATAGTCGTCAAACAATATTCAGTGAACAAATAGAAGCACATAGCATTAGAATTAACAAGTATTATGATATCTAGCTTCATACATACACACATACATACATTGAGGAAATCACCAATGTGCATCACAAGGCAATCCCTCACTTGGAATCCGGAAGGGAAGCGGAAAAGAGGAGGGCCAAAGAACACATTACGCCGGGAAATAGAAGCAGATATGAAAAGGATGAATAACAACTGGAAAGAACTGGAAAGGAAGGTTTAGGACAGACTTTGGATGGAGAATGCTGGTGAGCAGCCTATGCTCCTCGACGAGGGGTAACAGGCGTAACAACAACAAATGATATCTAGCTAGAGAATCGACAAAAGTTTTGATAGTAAGTCAAATAATACTGTAGCACACGACAATATGCAGGAGAAATATGCATTTATTGTAAAAAGCTACAACGTATTTATATAATACACATACATAGCCTTCAATAGACCATTTGCATCTTTCGGTGTATTGTGCCATATGAACTGCCTTTTTGTATGATCTCCAAGTGCTCTCCTAATGCCGTGCTTTTGCTGTACGCGAAATTTGTGTATAACTGATAAATTAACAGCATTGTGACATATCCGCAAATTCTAATCTTAAACAAACAATTCTGAAGCAAATCTTAGCATGGTGGCACTGTTTTGTGGACGAACTAATAGAATAGCGAATCTGGCTTTTTTTATTGAAATTCATTCATCTATATTACTGAGAAACACTTCATCATATAGCTGGTATCAGTTCTTGATGTGAACTCTGAACCTAGACCCTTAGTCTTGACCCTAACCAATAACATTGTGAGGATTCTCCTAAATCAATTTGGGTCCCTATAAAGGTTTGGGAAAGCAGATAATCTATATTCATATGGAAGAATCAATGTTTTTCCTATTTACAAGTGGAATAAACTGTATAGGTTCTAAACAGGCGCATTAAATAAGCGAAATCTGCTGGCAGTTTTCAATGTTATTGTTCTCTTTTCCATAAACTATCCATCTACAAAAGTCGTATTCTGATTGGCTAAAAAGCAGTTGAAGAATTCTTGCAATTATCTTGATCTCTTCCGTATGCAGTACTTTCACCGCAAAAAGATATGAGAAATTTCGAAAAAAACTCTATAAAGAAATAATAAAATATTTGTTATCTGATCGACTATAGGCAATATTGATGGCTAAGGTATGAAGAACGGTTTTACAAATCTCTGGGAGTAGGTTTTTCAGGACAGACCTTGATAGCTTCAATTGTATACGAAAAATGTACTTAGTTTTTGACTGCTTCTTAAATATTATCAAAATTACAAACATATCATAGAAATTAAACAACATTGTACATGACCTTTGAAATGCAGATATGTTTTGCAAACTATAATCACAAAAAATGAAACGAGCTCAGTTGCCAAAAATTAGATACCATTAAGCAGACTAGGAACTTTTAATTTGTTAACTGGTGATTAAATCAATAGAACGAATAAATACACATGATTAACTGTAACTCCAGTAACGAATACTAATAAGCATTGGGGCTTTTAGTGTGAGTTATTAAACCTTTGTAGAGATGATTCGTAGAATGAGTGACAGATAACAAAATGATCGGATAAAGTTTTAAATATCGAAATTCAGTATCCACGGCTCAGAAAATTAAAATATCACCATTCAATCACATTCTTCACTTAAATCTGAATTCAAAACTTTTATGTGGATAAAAAGCTTGATGGTTTTACAGGTGATTGAAACTATAAGTAGAACCATGGACCCAGTTGTGTAGCTTTTCGGTACTTAACAAACAGATATATCTGACAGAATTTGTAATCGTTAGGCTACCTACAAAATCGATCTATGTGAGTGGATTCTGATGCATGGTAAAACAATAATGAGCTTACCGCAAGTAATGAGGTAGCCAGTTTTAACCTAGTGGTTAGCTTACAGTGATTACTGTTAATAAGTGCAAATTACTTCCGACTGATCTCGATACCTGATGTGAACAGTTTACTGATTAAATAAGATTTCAGCGGAACTATAATATGTAACTGAGTTTGAGTGACTCTAAAGAATCTCCTGAAGCCGATAATGCGCTTTATTAGCTAGTGAACAAACAAAATTAGGCTTCCGTTGTTGAAAAGGTAGTGAAATCAAAGATTATATGGTGGTTGTAAGTAGCATATAGTATTCCGAAGTTTATAAGCGATTTTTCAAAGCTATTTTTCCTTCGAAAACGTTTAGTAATAAATATCTATGAAGGAGATCTGACCTTAGCCACGTTCATATATTCTCACAGACCAATATGTCAGTAAACCACTTAGAATCAACGAGGTACCAAAACTCCAATTTGTATGATATAATCATATTTATAATATAATTTCGTTATGAGTTCACTTTAAACAAAGAAACGATCTCTTCCTAAAATGTTTCGTATAAAATCTCCATAAGACCGTTTATACTAGCTGGCTGTCATTTTCACCATATGATAAAATAAACTTTTTCTTATCGAGTCTCAGCGGTTTTCAGTAATAAGTGAAAGTATCCTTCAGAAATCTATTCAAGAAGTAAATGATGATTCGTATTACATTTGAAGTTTATGCAAAGAACTCAAAGTTGCTAATTTAGTTGGTTATTTATATGTAATAAAGTTTCACTACTATTTTATTGAAGGTAAGCTCCGTACAGTAGAACTGTAGAGCTGAAATTCAAAGAACTCTCACAACCATCGTCAAAAGGGTACAAGTATTTATAAACACTTGTCTACACAAGATACTCAATATCCGTTGACCGAATACCATCAGCATTAGCCTACCATGGGAGAGAACCAGTTTCCTGTTGAAGAGGAAATTAGGAAAAGACGTTGGAAGTGGATAGGACATAACATTGAAAGACTAATATTTGAACGAAGAATATTCTTTTCGATAAATTCTCTTCAGATTCTACAATTCATATATATCCAAATTAATAATCCGAAAAATTGGCCAGGTTAAAGGCAAAGTACATCGTTTAATGAATGTAAATTTAGGAATGTCAAATCAAATAGAATAAAATTGTTAATGGTGATATGACTCATATAGAATGTTAACACTTGAATCTGTATATACGTAAAGTGAAAATTTAAGATCTGTGATCAGAATATAAATATGGGTCAGATAGAGTGAGAGAGATATATGATAGTGCAATTACAATTCGATCAAGTGGAAGTCTAAATGTGTGAAAAATTAGTGAGACGTAATAAGGAGGGATAATAAAAATACAAAGATTTGTGAATAAAGATAAGAGAGACAATTACATTTGACTACGAAAGGTCGTAAGTACATAGTCAAATTAGGTCATACAATAGCTAAGATGATTGTTCATTAATTGGCCTTGTGGTTGGCCAAGGGAGGAGTAGGGGTTGGAGATATTTCTTCTGTACACATAGCTCCGGTTTCTTCATTCTGATGGCTACTGCCTCCGCCGTTTGAAGGACTTTAAGTCTGACAAGCTTAGGCAAAAAGTTACTGACCCTATAAATAATTGAAAAAGATTCGTTTATACTGGCACTATGACCAGTTTGTACTAAACATTGAGGAAATCACCAAACTGCATCACAAGGCAAGTCCTAACTTGGAATCCAGAAGGGAAACAGAAACAAGGATGACCAAAGAACACACTGCGTCTGGAGTTGGAAGCAAACACAAAAAGGACGAATATTAATTGGGAAGGGTTACCCAGGATAAAGTTGGATAATGCTGCTCCGTGAGGGGTAACAAGCGTAAGCAAGTAGGCTGAATAATCCACATCAGTTGTGAACCAGGTGTTTCATTCTATATAAAGCAATCAGAAATAGAATGCTTACAAAAGAAAAACATGAGCAGTTTCATTTAGCTCTCATAACTGGTGTATTTCTATTAGGTGCACTTATTTTTCGTTTCATTAGTGGTGACCGCGTAAGTTGATGTTATACGAATTGCCTCAAGCACTTATGTCTCTTTACTACGATCCTTAATGACCTCAGTCACTTCCTTTTATTCAAATAAGATTGAGTTTAGGGATTTTGTTGTAATCGTCATCATTTATAAAATCACTGTCTTCCTCCGGCCATTGTTCTTAACTTCGACAGTTAGTATTTCACTTAGTCTTAGTGATTATAAATTCACAGTACAGAATACCGGTGACAGGCCAAACAATAAATGCATCTTATTCCCTTTGCGTCACTCATTTCCCAGTGAAAAGATGTGTGATTGGATGTAACGAAGTCCCTAATCGAGATCACCCTAGCTAATATGATTCGAGGGCTTTAACATTTTATGTACATGGGTAATTGTTTCCTAATATATTTGACGAGATATATTGTTAGTATTTATTATAATGAGTGGGATAACTAGTGGTATTTTAAGCCAGAAGAATTTGGAGGCGTCCATCACCATGTACTGATATCACTAGATTAACAGGGCGGGGATGGTGGATAGCTGAATAAATTTCGTTTTTGGATTTAGTTGCAAGCATCACTGAATATGATCAATCATGGATGTATCGGGATTCAAATATATTCATATAACACAGATGATACTTGAAACCCGCAGAGTGTGTTACTGACTTTCGGAAGCGCTGTTTACATTTAGTCGACCTAATGGTTGAGTGGCCATAGGATTAAGAGGTCTTAGACAAGGTGGTTGTGCTATTACATATATTGTGTCAAAACTTACCATACATTTAGACAAAAAAGTGGAGAAAATTTAAGAATGACTAGACCTGGATGTGTTAACAGTTCATAAAATCATATAGCCTGTTGGCTTTCAGTCATTTAAACATAATCCATCAGGAAACAGATGGAAACCTTAGATGTCCGTACACTACTGAGAAATGCAACAATTCTAACTGATGTGTTTCATACAAAACCAACGCCAAATTTGTCTGTTGAATAATATTACTTCATACTTTTACGAATGGACACCCTAGAAGAAAACTGAGAAACCCTTTAAACAGCATAAATTTCCGTGCACAAGTGAACTGGTCTAATTCGAAATTTTCGTTAATAACTAGATTTGAAGGAAGCCATAATTCTCAACATATATTAGGGAGGATAAGAAAGGGAATTACGTGGCCTTTTAAGTTCAGTTGATTAAATTTTGCGGTGAATGAATGAGACCTGCTTTAAGTTTCGTTTGTTTAGTATTCGCTCAGTATATATGTATAACAAGAAGTAGAATATTCAACTCAATTAAACCCCCTGAATTATTTATTGATTACTTCCGATTTGTGCATAAAAAAAGAAGAGCGTAACTGAAGTATCCAAAAGTAATCAAGTTATACATCGATAATAATTCCTTCAAATATTGACAGAATAATTTAATGTCTAACGCAAGATTGACATGCTCCGATAAATAACGAACTTCAGTAATACCAAACCTTTCATGAAATCCTATGTTCCAAGCTAAATTCAAGCATGCAGCACACCAATCAACTGCTAGAACGAATGAAATCTAAAGTTGAAGTGATGGATATGAGAAAAGTCAAAATCTCAGAAGAGACACACATATCGTTTAAGTTATAAGAGTGCCAATTTTTCAATGAGATATGTAAGGATTAAAATGATGAGTATCCAAAGGATCAAAATGCTGAATTCCATCCTTAGTTATCAGTAGACACTGTTAGAACACAACCCAAGTCACAGTGCCCCACAAAAGATTGGAGGTCGATCAACTTTATGAAATATTAAGGGGAAAATTACTACCATCATCAGGAAATAAAAGCTTTTTACTTCAACTAATGATTATACAGGATGAAAGTAAATATCAAGAAAGAAAACAACTGTACAAAACAAATTCGCAACATGGTAAATGTAAAAACACACATGATAAAAGTAGAAAGAAATCTAGTTCGTATGATCGTAGACGCATTAAACACAGTCCAGTAGAAAAATGACTTTAACATTTATAACCATGATGGTAATCAAAATATACAAATTTATAAAGGTGTAAATAAAGAATTACCAAATCACATTGTTTGAATTGGGAAGTTGAAAGCAGGTAAAATATTTCACTAAATGATTTGTGCTTAGTTCAACGACCGGACCATCACTACGACAACCATTACCAAGAGACATGAGCGAAGTTATGGAACGTTCACCAAAGAACGATTCAAACAAAACAAATACAATAAAAATAAGTAGAAAGATTAAGAAACATCTTCCGAATGACCGTTTATCGATACTGATTATAAAATGTGGTAAACTATTAGAATAAGTTTGTGAGAAAAGTGTGTGATACAGTAAACAGAGAAAAGAACGTGAGTGTAAATGACCAACTGCAGTATGGAGATCATAGTTGTCCACTTGTACCGAGTCATTTGATGAAATCACATTGTCAGTCACTTCTTTGTCTTTTTCTACAGTGAAAGGAATATGTGAATCAATTAACTGTTGTTTTGCATGGTAAATTGACAAGCGTTTTGTTTTAACTATAATTGCATTTGATTGTTTAATTATTGCCGATTCTAAATCACGAATCATAGTTAAAATTTTATGACGAAGTTCACAAGAAAAATGAATTAAATTGGCAATGGAGCATTTTGATATATTGACATTCAATTCTTTACCATAATGATCGAAAGGATTATGACAATCATGTTGTACAATAATGTTTGATTTACAGGAAAATTTCCAGAAGTCATTGAATAAGTAACATGAACCCAAACGTGACTGAATAGTCCACAGATTTTCATGTAAATCCTAAAAAAGAAGTATAAATTTTTAAATTACATTATGTGGAAAAGGGAACTATCAATACCAAATGTGAATTATCATTCACTACCGAGATTCCAATTCAGTGTGAAAGTGACTATTCTAAATGATATAAAGTCTAAACTAATTCTAATAAAAATCCAGTTTGAATTTTGGTCATTTAGTCTTTTACAACGACAAGTATGTTAGGCTGGAAAAGTTCTTTATAACTAAATAACTATAGAGATGGAATCAATCTGTCATGTAACAGTGAGTAATTCATAATGCTTATTTTGAGAATACTGTGGTCAGTTTTGTTTACGTATATTCAAAGTATTAAGTAGTAGAATTATAGTCAAATGAAAGACTCACCAGCCCCAGTGAGTTGGTGATTGACGAAACCTCATCACAGATACCGAAAGACCACTTAGCTTTTACTAACTTGCACCACATCTGGTCTAGGGGAGACATCCATTTTCCAACTAAGAGGTAAGTATATCGAACAGATGTTTGCTCTGTATTCTTGTGCGATGGCAGAAGGCATATTTACGTTCCAAGTAGTTGATTATAAGCAGTTTCGAAGCACTGCCTGTACATGATGGGGCCGAATTAGCAATATCGAAGTTAGCCGTAAGATACTAGGTAAACAAAGTCAATTCCGATGATAAGGCTATGACTTTTATTATCGGAGGTAGTTAGAATATGTTACAAATCCCTGAACACAGCCTACCCTTAAGTTCGATGTTGAGAGTAAGACAAAGATAAAAACTAGGGTTAGGGAAACTAGGAAATGACACCAGATCATGAAGTCACTGACTGTTGATTTCTGTATTCCTCTAAATCTTGAACTAAGTATCACTCCTGACTTTTCATCGTTCGATAAGATTTGTTGTTTCTAAACTGTATCTTTCCGTTAAGATTTTCACTACTTTTGATATTGTTCATGATCTCGTTAATTTCCCCAAACTATCCTGAATTAAAATAAGAGATCTTCAACCGATCCATACTCGTCCCAATTCCTACGTTAGATAACGGCTTTTATAGTAATTTGGGAAAAATGCATATTATCCTATATGAAGGTCTAAGAAATTTGATGAATTAAGAACGAACATGAAATATTTATTTAGCATTATATCATTTTCAAAAAGTATTTTGACTACAAAATAAAAGATGCATTATAATATATCTAGATATAAAACCACAAATACTAAATATATTTTTGATAAAATTTTATTAAGTGATCAAGGTATCTCAATAAAATATGAACGGACATTGTCGATATTCAAACATTTGAATCATGCTTTTGAAAAAAATTATCCTTGAGCAAATTATAAAGAAACCTTAAAATTACTACTTATGGATGTATTTGAATACTTAATTGAATAATGAATGTCAGTTTCTTTAAGTGAATCAACGCAAAAAGGTATATAATCAACATACTTTCAAACTATGATTCTATTGAGTGAAATAAATTCTACAGATGGAGCAAAATGTAGAAAAGTAGCTATTTATCTGAGAGATTGTGACACATTGGTTATTTTTGTCATACTCATTGTTAATCTTATACTTTCCTGTCATTTTTATTCCTTTGTCATACTTCTTCAGAGATGTGATGGGTAGAGGTATGTTTCGTTGACAAGACGAGTTAATGCATCAGGCTAGTTAACGGGACTTTCATTTGATTGTGGTTTGACTTAGTAATAACCATTTATCAACTGCAAGTTATTGAATAACAAACCACCGATGTCATTAAAAATAAAGGGAATCAAACACACTACTTACACGTAGTTCTTCTAAAGTGTTTAGAAACTCATTGGATGAATAGGTTGAAATTACACCAAGATCAGAATGTATTTCATTTAAACAGTGGTCAATACTATCAGTAGATGACGTAAACTCATCATAAGACTGTAGAAGTTGTTTTAATACCTCCTGCGCTCTATGAATAGCTGTCTGAACACGTTGTTTCATGCCCAACAACGATACATTCGCGTCATAGCTTTCTCCTACTAAATGATCAAACATAGATGAACGCCAATTTACAACCCACAAAGCCATAGTATGTCTACAAAAAAAGAACACAGAGAAATAACCATAATTATGCAAATGAATATTCAGATACAGGTAAATTTAATACTTGTAAGAATGTAAATTCAGAAATTAACATTCCACAGTCGAATAATTTTATGAGGACTTATTTAAAGTTACCAACCATAAGTGATTAACTAGGTATTCCATTACTAAGTAGTGGATCAGAGTACTTATTTGCCATCCAAGACCATGTGTTTTCAATAGGAACGAAGGCTTCTACACGATATACATTGATTTATATAAAAAGGAAATAAAAATATTGAGTGGACAAAATTTATTCTTCAAAAGCAGGAGGATAAAAGGAATTATCAGTTCAATGCTGTCATACTTGATATCAATATTAGTAGAAATCGATGAAAAGTATGGGTACATAGTAAAGGAGGAATTTAAAGGAAAAAAAATGAAGAGAATGCATCTACGTAACTGTGGTCAATGTAAGAATATCTCACCAAAAATATTCAAGCATACACTATAGTTACTTCAAAAATGGCACCTAAAAGGTCTGCGACACCACGATCAACCGACCACATGAACAAGTTACAAATTTTGATCTAGCCAATTTAAATCATTCTTTAAAACTAGTCCCTACACTGGAAAGCACAGCACACAAAAATGGGCTGTGTTTAGACACGTTTTACAAATATATACTTAATTCGATGATAAGTTTATAGCTTCATCGACTAATTCACCGTCTATACTTGAACATTTTTATATAATTAATTAAATTAACTCATACATCAGGTACTTGAGTAGTAGAAAGACTTTAAGTATAAGGGCTAACGATACTACCCAGTTGCCCAAACCGAAACAGAGGTTCAAACCTTGAACTTCTTGGTTGGGAGTTGAACGCCATATCCACTAGGCCACCACTCCACTCACAATTAGAAATATAGCTTGAAATAGCGCAATTTTACACTGGTTTTCAGGAGAGTCACACACCGTATCGGCTTTTAAACGGTCTGAACAGTACAGTAAAATCCTGTGACACAAACACACAGGTATTAGAAACCCTGGTGGGTCACTTTTATCTAAGATTAACACCACTCACATGATGATTTGACCAAATGTGAGCAATGTTACAAGATACCTATGATTGCAAACCCAAAATCTATACGAGTTTTATGCTTTCGAATGATGTGTGAGTAAAGTAAAAAGGAGCAGACTAATGTGCAGTATATTTAACTTTTAATAACCAGAAGGATAATCAGTTAGATCTACTTGTGGTTTCAACTGATAAAAGCTTAAGAGAATCACGATTGACACTGAAAGTTTAAATAATCATCAGTTCACTTTGTAATTGAGTTATATATTACTTGTTTACAGTTGAGGATTCGAAGACGATTTCTTATTGAGTATAATGACAATTTGCGAAGCGATAATAAACATTATACAGATACGTTTTAGAATAAATTGTTTCCGAAAAAATGTAACTTATTATATAGTATGAATAGTACACATATGTAGTTTTGATGTTATGCTTCTCCTATAGAATGTATTTTTTACCTAATGCTGGAAATTGAACTATATGTTAAGGTTTTGCATGCGGGATATTACTTTAGAAACAATATTTAGGGTCAAGTAGATTCAACAAACGGGTCTGATTACATGACATAACAGCAAATTTTATTGGAAACCGACGGTCAACAAAAATAGTGCATATATAATTAAAACAATCAAAAAACGAGCAACCTTTGATGTGTATTTACAAATCTGTCAAAAACCAGACCCCAAAGCAGCCATAAGACGAAATCAATGAGAAAAAGAGTTACTTGAAAAAATACAATTGAAAATATGTATGAAGAGGACAGAAAACGACTGGGTGAGAGAATGTTTTAAGATGATATTAAACCAGACAGAAATCGATCATATAATTTTTCTCTTATCTACGTGAAATCGCACACTAAATATACAGAAGTACATAAGCCATGAGTGTGTGAATGCTAATAATTATTCATTTCAAACCATTCGAAAAATATATGTTATGTAATGAAAATCGATAAATCGTTCTAAACAACAGTGACTAACCAACTAGAATCACATAATTAACTATAGACATCAATTTAGTGACTTAGTGTTATGAAGGGACAATTGATTGATAAAATATCCGATAATTTGACTGAAGTGGTCGAATAGATAATCTATTGAAAGGAATAAGTTTTAAATTTTTATAAACATAAGACACAATCATTAGTTAACTAAATATAAAAAAATATAACAAAATTTTGAATATCCATGATATCCTGGACCCTACATCTACCTGTAGAAAAAATACATTAACATATGAAAGTAGGAGAAACTTGATTAAAACACACAGAGACCTATTACTAGTTGATTTTAGTTATTCAAAAGTGAGAGTAATGAATATTTCCTACAACATATGTGGATCTTACCTTGCCTTAAGAGCTGATAACCAATCACCAAATGTATTTAAAGCGATTGATAATGAAGTTTGTAATTGTGTTTTATAGTCTGCTTCCTCATGTGGAAGAGAATCCAATAACTTATCCATAGTATTAGTCCACTGAGTAAGACGTTTACCATAATGCTATATAAACAAACAGGAAACGAAACTTTTATGTATAAAATTAACATAATATCAAAAACAATGACATAATTGTTAGACATCATTTAAGAGTGTTGAGCTCAAGTAATTTGCAAAATTGATACAACGATATATTTACTTCGATCAAATATTGGACACACTGAGTCATCCTGTATGTAGTTATTATTATTATTATTAATGGCTTTATTCAATATTATAATCTGGTACAATATAGAATTCTCAGCACGAGTTATTTCAACAAGTTTTTTACCAAAAAAGAAAACCCGAAAAAAACAAACAAAAATAAAAAAAACAGAAATAAAATTTAAAAAAAAAAAAGGTCTAGGAAAAACCGACTTTATACAAATTATCGAATTTGAGACATGCTTAAGAAGACAGGTTATTTACTAGGTCAACTCTAACAGCCTGTTCGTCACAAAGTAAATTTGCTAAGTAAGGTATTACAGAACTTTTATAGATTTGCTTGCGTGCATGGATTTTAATGTATTTACGTCTCGTTCTACCAGAAGATATACAAGGAGAAAGATATGAATAAAGCGGATGGTTAGTATCTGATAAGATAACACCTGCCAAGAGTTTGCAAGACTTAAGATGTCTATCCACAAGCATATTAACAATGACTTCAAAAGATTCACCACATACCTTGCAAACCGCCTTCAGCATTCTACGCAAAATAGCAAAGTCTTTTCTCAAAAGCCCAGGAAAGAATAATGGAGAACAATATAAAATATTAGGTAATATGCAGGAATTTACAAATTGTAAGAGTAAATGGCGAGTAATCCCAAAAGCATGCAGCCTCTTTATGTAGTATGTCAAGCGGTAAACTTTTTTCGATAATTTTCAGTTCATTAACAAAGAAAAAAGTGATAAGACAGTCTGAGTATTTTTTTGTAGTTACAGACACCAAACACAACAATGATATGTGAATCGAAGATACGAAAACAGCGAAAATAAGAATAAAAAAAGAAAGAAAGAAAGGAATGCAATGTTTCACATAATCTATTCATTACTAAATGAACTGAACTTATCTAAAACGCGCACAAATCGGGTATAAATAAACTCTAAATTTGTCTACAATAACGACTGGTAATGAATGTAAAAATGTATAGGAAACTTAAAAGTACTGATTTTCTATAGTAGTTCAGTTGAGGTTAAACAGGATTACCGGGAAAAATAACAATCTTTGAAATGAGTGATTTTAACACGGCTTGAAGGATATTATAATTTATGCCCAAAAATAACGAGATGAATACTTCAGGATGAATAGAATATATCTCAAGTGTTCATGCCTTTGAGAACAATCCCAAAAAATTGTTTTCAATCAATTTATGTGAAGAAATTACATTTGTGTACTAAGTTGTGAGTCGTATATTAGATGCGAGGGCTAACGATACTACATGAATATATAAAAATTGAAGTGAATAGAGCACGGTTCAAACCTGGACAAACGCTGTATCTCTTGATAATCTACATGTGCATGATAAAACAGAAGTTTACTATTTCATATTTCTTTTCTTTTTCTATTTAAATATTAAGTTGATCAGAATAATAATCGTATCTTCTAGAAGTTTCATTTATTCACCATTTATAGTCACAATGCATATAGGTTTATAGACTAATCGTACATCTACAACTGATATATAATAATGGAAAATAACAAAATTAAAAGTGGAGACAGCGTAACAAAATCAACCAGTAATTAAAACATAAAGTGATACCGTGAGATAACTTTTATCAATATCCAGTTGTCGACGTTCGTCCTTCAATTTTTGTGAGTATAGATTTTCATCAACTTGTAAATCCGAATCCAGCAATCCAGTCACAGATTTTTCTTCTAAACGTAATAATAGTTTAGTAAGTGGAAGTGCGTCCCGACGTATTGATGTTAAAAGAGGGAGAATATCAGGTTCATTTACCAACGAACTATCGGGCAAATCGGTAACTGAAAATGATGAATAACAAGTGTTTTACAAGCCATATAGTCCTTTTTATAAATAAAGAAGAACGGGAACATGTGATAGTTAAAATTGCCGGTAATCATACAGCAACCACAGATGTACTACTAGCCGACGTCATTCTCTATGATAAATGAATCACAAATAAAATCTCAAAGAACAGGTTCTGTTGGGTTTTGGAAATCATAAACTGAGTATAATGCAAACGAGTTGTCCTTCTGTTCAGCAAAAGGCAAGTACATCTTACAGTAGTTCAGTGAATTTTTCTACCTTACTGAAAGGACTAAAATATTTCATTTGAAAGTATCAAATTCGTGTAAATTACAGGAATGCAATCATAGATATCTAAGGACTAACGCACAGTTGATATAAGAGTAATCCTGATGTGAGATGCAGAGTTTTCGGAATATGTAGTGAATCAGTTGACAAGACGATTAACATAAAAATCAACCGAAGTAAATAAGATTTCTTATAAATGTTTAATTATCATCTAACAGCTGAACCACAAAATTGGTAATAATTTTAGCAAATAAATTTATTGTACATTCTTTACTTAGGTTTCGAAAATCATATGATTCTATTCATTTTCATTCATTATTGACTACCGATGATATTCTTTTTGTGCTAGGATTTCAAACCGAGAAATATCTGCACAACATATCAAAAATAAGTGAGCATCTAGATATTTAGAAGCTTTTCACACTACATATTAGCCTTCTGTGTGATTGGAAACTATAGAATGAATAATTGCATTTCAATTATCTGACTGAATTAGTTGTAAAGACACACTATAACAAAGGTTGAATTTCGTTCATTTATCAAATACATATTACATGATAACATACCAGAAGCAGCTTCTAATTTAGTATGATTATTGTTGCCCCGATTGTAATGATATGCTTCATTCTGTAAAATACCGAAAACTTCATTACAAAAACCCTATAATCACATATCTTTATAAAACTCTTTTAAAGGTAGACTATATAATTTTAGAAAACCATTTTACGTCCATACAGCTTACTGTCAGATAATTATCCAAGATAAAAACATAGGTTTAAGAGGTAACTGTAGGATGCTGTACACAACTAAACCATTTCGATGATAGCAGCTATCGTTAACTAACGGTGTGGTGTGTGCTACTGATATCGACAGATATAAGTAGTGTGTATCATCAATCGAAAATGAAATGCTTGGAGGCAAAGGGTAAGAGGATCAAGGAAAAGAGAACGAGGACAAAGAATGATTGGTGTGGAACGAAAGAACAATGAAGTCTGGGACGATTGAATGGTATCTTCAAAAGGAACAGTCAACTTTGAGACAATTGATTGACGTTTTGTAAATTAAGTATTTACTGTATGGTTCTCAGATCTTATTAAGATGTTCTGTAATTTTTTGTTCAAATACATTCGATTGTCCCCACTTGTGTTCTCTTTAGCTACAGTAGTATGGTTGTGTCTAAACAAATATACATATATCGAGAATCGAATCTTAAGAGAAATAAACTTATGATGAAACGAAAGCATATTTGTCATAAACACAATATAAAAGATTTAAACTTTAATGCCAATGTCAGCTCTTAAAACACTTCTTTACACCTGAAGAGAAACTAATTACTACGATAGATTTTACGTATTTTATAATTAAGATCAAGACACTTCAGTTGTCTTGGGTGCTAGCTAAAACTGTTTCGTTGCATATTATTTACTTTATGGATAATAAGAAATGAATCACAACTACAGTGAAAACTCATCACAAAAAGATCAACTTATTATTGAGAGCAGTAAAGAAATTTAAATAGCTACTAGCAAGAGGAACAAATATTTTGTCAAAAATAATCAGTTCCGCAGACCATGGAACTTTGTCCTTAAACTTTCAACTATGATACATGATTATCCTACAGAACACAAAAGCATTGCAAACTGAAAATGATCTTTTTGATAGATCAACTAAAATAACTAGCTCGGCTATCTTCAAACATAACGTCATGTAGGCAATTATCTGTAATCTTTATTCATAAGGTAAAAAGTGTAACGACAAACATCATTTTGATTACATGGACTAAATTATATCTAATTACCTTCAGTACGAAAATTTGTGGAGCTATAATCTAATTATACAAATTAACGTCATCTGTGTTGATTTACAAAGGCGTAATTAAAATATATGAAAATTTAAAGAAAGGGATACAAAAAGTGTACGTTAAGTTAATAAACTAACGTGATTTACTATTGTATCAGGATGTGGTGTATGCAATTCAATTTTAGCACAAGACGATTCGCACTTCTGTACCTCAAAATTTTTTTCCCAGGATTTTACAGATTCCGGAGAATAATAAGAATTATTTTGACTGACAGACAAATTGTTTATTAGTATAGAAATTTCTGAATGATGTGAGGGATATAAAGAAGAGACCTGGAATTTCAATGAAAAATGCAGATAGAGGTGAGTTAAAGAATTGGAATGATACATTTGTGGAAAGTGAAATTATTTAAGGACACTAATATTCATACTGAATAAAGCTCCCAACTTTAGAATACAGAATGGGTGTTAGATAATTGAAGTAGAACGATAGGAAATGTAATATTCTGTCGTGAGTAGTAGGATTAATCAAGGATAATTATCAACGACAATGCCCATTCTCTGTAGATTCGCAACTGTGACTCTAGAGATGCTATTATTTAGCAAATTTGACTATAAACTTTTTATAGTCTCGGGTCCTGGTAAACACTTAAAAAGAGTGAATAACTAATGATCAAATATCTTAGGGTACGACAGACAATATGTAAGTCAGTTGACGCTTGAGAACGAGCCAGTAGACAAACAATAAGCAAAAAGCTGGTTCAACTACCACTCTATTGATACATACATAAATATTACAATGAAAACTGGTAAACCTACCTCTGCATGAGATTTTTGTTGTGAGATACCAACTTGACTGAGATGCTGAATGTGGGATTCAGTCAACTGAAAACAAGGAGAGACTAATGCCTCGGCAGCAAGTGTAAGTGGCGAGCCGGGAAGAATAGATCCACCAGTGTTGACTATTGATCCATTCAATGTGTCGACTGATTCATTACTCGGCAACAGTGATGGGGAATCAGACTTTGCAACTTTGACGGGAAATAAAAACTAATTACTAATTATCAACAAAGAAGTGACGAATTTTGAATGATACAGAATGATGGGGTATGTAGTAAAAATGTGTCCTAGGAAGAGATAAACATAGGTCATTTGGAGAGCTTAACCATAAAATCCTAATATCATGTGAACCCTGAATAAAAACTTGATAGATTTTCATCATCGATTCTTTCATATATTGAGTAAACTTGTTATGCTCTAATTTTGCACTTTAACAATGTACGTTGGGATAAGAAGAGATCTAGCAATTATTGAAGGAATTTTAAATGCTTTACTCTACAATAACTCAAAACAGTAAAGTGCCTCGTCTAAGTGAATACCAGAAGTTAGACATTTTAATGTTCTGGGCTCTTATTTTGTTTGATATTTATGCAGAAACGAATACGTTAAACAATTTATTCATAAATGAACGAGGGATTCTTTACACGATTCATTTTAGATATGAGAGTTATAATGGACCAAAATCATGGTAAATAAGTTTTTTTAGATGAAATAACTGAGGAACATGATAAGTATAGTACTTACTTACGCCTGTTACACCTGATGGAGAAGCATAGGCCGCCCACTAGCATTTGACATTGGTAAGTATGGTAGTCAGTTTTAAATTAAATGTTTGAAATGTAAACTTGAACTGGTAATTTAATGAGTTTACCAACAGATAATCATTGGTTACCTACATGAGTTTTTAATTACAAGAGAATGTGTTTGTAGCTGATTAGATCGAGGCTAATTCTACTTGAAAGAACAGTATTATAAGATGAAGTTTGAAAGGAGGAATTAAATTGGTTAGAAACAGTTAATTGAAAGTATAAAGGTTAAGCGGGTAGTTTAGTATAAAACTTAATAACTCGAAAATGAACCACAAAAGCGTGGTACGTTACCTTCCATGGCCAACATTTTAACAATATTAGTTTTGTGGGTTTCGGGAAAACAGGCAGTAAACTAACGTAATTCAAATGTCATAGTCAAATGTTAAACGAAAACAAACAATATGATTTTGGTAACCTCAAATACAGCGGCTTACACAATCGAAACAAATGACAGTTGTGATTTTTAAAATGACTGTTATCGTTATCAAGACTTGACATTGGTTTACTTTAATCGAAACATTACGCCAGGAGCTTAATTCTTAAATTATCAGCACATGCAGAAAAAGATAAGGAAGCTTTTTTACAAATAGTAAACTTACTTTGCAAATCACCCAAATCATCCCATTCCAGTCCATCAGCATTATCATCATCTCTATGGATGTTAGGGAGCTTTTCATCGAAATGAACATGAATACCATACATTAGACCATTGTCCTTATGAACATGATTAGAGTTCTTCAATATCTCAACATGTTCAGCATTATTTTTAACATTTTTACTATTATTGTTGTTTAAATTATTCGGAGGAATAATTATTGATAAAAGATCAGGGGACTGTTGAGAACTGGAACGATATGAATTTGACTCGAATTCTGTAGTTGGCAATAACTCTGAACAGCTAGTTCCGTTTAAATTATGATTTGTTGTTTCACGTAGATCAACAGCATTTGGATCTGAATGGTTATCTATACAGGATAATAAAGACGTAAATGAGTTTCTTCGTAACTTTCTATAATTGTATTGTTTAGGACCAGCTAAAGTGCCAGGGGGCAAAACACCACATGTTGCTATGAACTGATGACGTTTATGATCCTTTGAGGAAAAAATACCAACGGGCATCTTAAATATATCTTCTCCACTCCAAGAAGTAAGTCGAATTCGATTTGCAGAAGAGCTATTGAAAGGAAAGAAACAAGATAAAAAAAGTAGGGATGGTAAAATCAGGACAAAATACATTGAACAGAAAACAGTTAATTAATGCACAATTTGATAGCAGTTCTTAAAAATCATAAATATTTTATGTATGAGACTTGGTGAATACAAATAAGAACTTCTAAACCAATAACTGGAGTCCAAGTGAGTACAAAAACCAAGTTAACTTATACACATGATTTTCCAAATCAAGTCAAATGCAGTTTTGGTGGAATCGAACTGACTTAAGGTTATTAAAGATATGCAAAAATGTTTTTTTTTAACAAAGTGAATTCGACTATGTACAGACCATGAAAAAGCTAAATGACTACATAGTAAGGTGAACGGTATTCGGTCAATTTAACACCTAATATTCAACCAGAAGTTGGTGCAAACAATTTGTAAAACATTATTGCGAATTCGATAGTTTCCCACTTGAAGCATTTTGAAGGTTCTACACCCTGAGATTTATCACATATTCAGAAAAAAAATGCTAAAATAGAATGCAAATCGCAGATTAAAACAAAAGACCTAATATAAAATTAATTCTGATTTGACCATACACTCGTGCATCTCATTGGATGGTTCGATACTACTTCTTTCATAACACCATACAAAGCACTGACGTACAACTTCTAAGATCGCATTTATTGAGAAATAATCAAAAACACCATGCCAGATTTACTTGTCACAATTTCTGTATAAAATATAATAATCCACATAAAGAACAAAACAGTATCATCTGTAAAAAACTTCATATAGTCTGTTGGATATATTAGGATGATGAGTAGAAAATACCGCTTTCTACTACAGACACAAAAAGTACTACAGTTGACGTAAAATTATTCAAGAAATAAGTATCTGATTAGACAAAAACGACATTTTATATCCTTATTATTTAAACACATAAATATTGGTACAAAGAAGCACCAAATATATATGCGCCATACAAATTTCATTTGATTTGTGTGAGTGCTGTGATACTGCCCAGGTGCCCAGACTGAAGCAAGTGGTTTTTAGGGGGCCACACCCGGAGCCTTTGACCTAAAGGTCTGATTCACAAGGCGGTGGAGCAACGTTAGGAGATGCAGTCCCATGATAACCGGTGACTAACGATTGATTCATACGCCATATGTTCCCTCAGGATCCTGAAGCCCATGTGCACCATTGGTTTGGAATCAGGGTTTTCTAACTCATTCAAGTGGACCCACCGTGTCCACCAACACGGTTAAAGCGCCAGGCATTCGCTTTACGTCCTCTCAATTTCGTTAACAACAGTAATGCCACAAGAAGGCAGTGAGTGGGACTTCCCTGGCAGAGGCAATATACGCGTGGCCACGTGAGAGCATTTGGAGAGGGAAAGCGGACTCTCCCCACTCTCGGCCGTACCAGGGCATTTGAAATCATTATCTGATTAAACAAAAACGACAAGATTAATTCAAATATCTTAGTGATGTAATATATCAGACAATGCTTAAATATTAATAGAAAAGTTTGATGATAAATAAACTCACATAAAGATTAATAATCAAAATTAAAGCCTGAAATAAAATAATCTCCAAGTTGCATTCAATTTTTTTCAAAATAAGTGGAGACAAACAGCTGTTTAAATAAGTTAAATGAGAAAATGTATAAACATAAAAATAATCTATGCAGAATAAATAGTCCTATATGTCAAGGTTAGATACAATTGTATGTGATCGCGTGGGCGCTAACTATTTGATTAGACAATTTTACACAAACTATATCAAGTTTAATCCATATAAACATAAATAAATCCATAAATGAGAAAAGTGACAAGGAAAGCTATGAATATATATAACTCATCACTTTAAACGAAAAATGATCTAAACAGACTTAATTACATATGATTATTAATTGCGATAAAAAAGTGGATTTGTTAATCAGGAATGAAAACAAAGAAAATTGAATTGCGTAATAATCTTAGCCGATGCTTGATAATGACAGTTTGATTAGAGTTCAAAATAAAACTATCCATTTCCAATTGTTTGAGTAATGGATGTTAGTTAGTAATGAAACTCATTTATCAAGTACAGGTTTATTCAGTTTCCAGACAGACATCTAGTGCAAAGGCTAATGACACCTCCAACACTCCAAACCGAAGGACATGGAACGAAGTTCGAACCGGCGATCTATTAGTTGAAAATCGAATAATTTATCAATATTGTGGTTTACAGAACTAAGCACCATCTAGGTTCTCTAAGACCTGAATAGCACAGCTTCAGCTTGTGGTGCGATCGCGTAGATACCAAGATCCGTGGTGACCAAAGGGAACAAAAAACAACATATTTTACTTAATTTTAGGTAAACAGAAATCTCGTAAACGTTTGCTTGTATTGTATTGTAACACTCCTGTTGGATAGTGTGACAGTCAACAGAAAAAATAATTCTACTGAGCAATAGTACGGAGAGGTACACTTTGAAAGACACTCACAACATCCGGGATAGAACCAATGACCTTCACGTTTCAGGGAGAGTAAGTTTCATACTAAAGCGAAAAAGTCGTCCAATACTTTCAGATTTTCGACGGCTGTTTGGTTAAAATCAGTCCACGAAGTTACTTACAAGTTGAGCAATATCCGCTGCATTATATATTTATTATCCTGTAAGAACATATCATATGGCTAGTAATAAAGTATTTCCTGTTTGAAGTACTTTTACTAGCCCTTAAAAAAACAAGATCGCAAAATCCTTTTCTGTCGAATCAAACACACAAATCCAGCTAACTGGTTATATCAACCTAATAAATGGCGTCTATGAGAAGACTAATTGCAAGAACGTGAATAGTAAAACTATCACATGACATTAAAAAATTGCACTATGATAGTGAGTCGCTTGGACTAGGGGTCACGAAGCAACTTTATCAAAAAAATCAATCACAAACAAGGTTATATATGATAATGGTTACTACTATGTGATCCGCTACTGTCTACGTTTTAATCCCCAAGTAAGTAGCAACTGATATGAGTGACACGAGGTGATGCGAGTTCCGATATAATGAATTTATCGGATTCTTCAAAACTACAGAAACGTCTTCCTGATGAGTGGTAACGACGAGACTAAACTATATGGACGAGCCAATCATAAGCTTTTGCGGGTTTTCAAGGTCACGGCGCTAAGTTCGGTACCTGATGCTTACGTACGGTCGGTTTACAACGGATTTCAGAGAAGACGTGATAATTCAGCGTCTACAAGAGAAGTGATCATAAGATTTTGGCGCGAAATTCAATTATTCATTTGTATAAATAGAGTTTTGGCATTATAGTTCGTGATGAAAACCCTAAATATAATTCCTAACCTTAACCATGAACTGTAAATCATAATTTGAATTCTTCACACAGGTTTATAACCCTCATTTAGTCTGAGTTATGTTGACACTCTCAGAGTCACTCTGGCGTCGCTCAAAGGTCGTCCATAATTTATAGTCTCATCCTTAACCCTAAACCTTAACTCTAACCCTAAACCATACCAACAACATTGAAGCTATGTGGTCGAGGCTAAAAGAATTTTTGAGACCTTATCATAGTTCCAGAGGTCGACTACTATGGAGCCACATGGATGAGTTCCTGTACCAGATGCACTATGATTTTAGAACTTCTGAACCTATATTTAACCTTGATAAGTTTTTGAGTCATGTAAAAGAACAGTATCCCCTTTAATCTTTGAGTTTTGTATAATATATTTTTACTGTATACCAACTGTCTTCTGATTGGCTAATATTTTTCAAGGTCATTTAAGATTCGCTCAATAGTTGTCCACATAGTTTAGTCTCGCCGTGGTAACTAGCGTAGGATATAGACCCAGGGTTTCTAACTGGTTACATCCACTCACTTGAATGCTACTGAACCAGTAAGAGAAGAACACCTAGCGTATACAATTGTAGCAGGAAATAAACACTAATTCAAAGTTGAAAATTTAAGTAACAAAAACTGGCACTAAATGAGAGGATGAAAAATTACACATTCTTCCACATATTAAAACTAATTTTCTTTCTTAATCACCTTCGACATGGTTAACGATTTGTGGACCAGATAAATATACATTTTATTGTGATGGAATAAACCCCGATAAAATTTTAAACTAACCATTTGCGTTTCAATCCTGAATCACTGGAATGAAAACGTGAATAAACAAAACCCAAATCATGATTGTCTGCCACATGCATTTTCAGGTTATTACGGTTAAAATATTCTAGGGAATTCGTTTGTTCGAAACAGATATCAAACGGATATTTGGACTGTTTTGCAAAGTATTTATATTTATTAGTCTTGTCATTATCATTATCGTCACTCTTTCCATTACGCTCCGTAGAAGAACTGACCAATTTAGTTGGTGTACGATCATAAATTCCATGGAATAAACCAGAAGGTGAGTCACTGATTGCCTCTGAATCGTTTGAATCTGAGAATAACGACAATCTTTTGAGTTATATATAATTATAAAAACGAAAACATCTACTACATTGTAAGTAAAGTGATTGAGTGCAAAATGAAATGAAACTGGAGTGACCAAGTATTTTGAAAAAGCTATTGTTTATTATTATTACTACTGTTATTATTAATGGCTTTATTTAATATTATATGTTTAGAACAATATAAATCATATGACACCCTTTATTTGCTAAGGAACTGCCTACATGACATTATCCAATGTCATTATTCAAAGTTAGCTAATTACTAAACATAAACTATTCCAGACTTCATGAACTGTGTACAGGACATTTACCGTACCAACATAACCAGGAAAGATTCTTTGGATAATTTTAAACAAGTATACATAAAATTGAAAATTAACCACTGTTTACAAAACACTTTCCAATAAATTTCAATCGTCTTACCAGGACTGTTATCTTAGAACATAGTGAGGTATGTGCATTTAATATACCGTGTTTACATGAACATAACTTCCTAAAAACCCATGAAAGTTTGCAGCACTGTTTAGATCAGATAATACAATTTGAAACAAAGCTTCACATCTGCCGAACAAAACATAGAAATAGACCTTAAATCCAAGATTGAAAGTTATGTTCAAGACGGGTTTTAGTACTGTATTAACTGAGGTATTACTGACTACAAAACAGAAAACCAGGGGATTTTTATTGAATGATAATTGTCTTGATCTTATAAATTTTCAAAAAACAAGTTGTTTTAGTTGACGTCCCATTTTTGTATCCATTAGAGCATAAGAGTTACCTCAATCTGAACTAATCTTGATAATTCATAATTAACGACTATCGACTTGTAGACCAGTCTTTTTAAAATTGTTGATTAATTTGTTATTGTTCCATTTTATTTTTTGCATTCAATAGCTTTTCCCACATATATATACTCCTTGTAATCACTATAATCACAAAAAAGTGAAATCGATAAAACTAAGTGTATTTTCATTCCGTAATTTCATGCATCCTTCTATAACAGTATTATTAAAATAAGTTATTAACCAAGTGTAAGTTGAGTGCTCAATTTTTAGTCACAAACTTTGTAAAAAAAAGAAAGCTAATACGACTCAGTTACCTAAGGTTCAAATAAGTGGAACGGATTTAGAAAATGCAATTCGGAAGTTAAAAGAAAAATGACCTCAAAACTACTTCTTACGACTACGATCACAAGTACATTTAGAACAAAGCAATACACAGAGTCCAGATCATCAATCAGAAGGCAGAACGAATTACTGGTCAAAATGAGTGTGAAGGACGATTATCGACTATCTAAGTGGTAAAAGTTACTACGTGTTGATGAAGATCAACGTAATGCACGCAATCTCAGGTTGATCTATAGACTTTTTAGTTTATTAAAATTATCTAACTGGACTCAATTATTTTAAATAACGTGGTTGTTTAAAATGAGTTAATTCCGAGCCTATACCCGATTCAAAAAACTAAATGCATTTAGGCCACTTTAACACGAATGAAGATATCAACTGCTGATCAGTACAAATGATACCTAACCATCTAGTAATTTACTTCAACTCCCATACTTCTTAATTAAAAACCTACTTACCTGTATTGGAAGTCCATAAACAGTCTGAGGATTGAGAACGAATATTATCATTTACGGAAGAAAACGATTTTCTATTTTTGGACTCTGTAGTGAATAAATTCGGAATATTAAAATTAGAATTACCGAATTGATCTGTTGATTGACAAGTTAGGAATTGGTCAGCATCACTTGCAAATCCTGATTCTGAACAACACAGTGAATATACACTGGAAGTTGAATAATCAGTCCGATTGTTCACTTCAACATTTAGCTGGAATCAGTGTTTGGAACCATGAAATTTAACAAAAGAAATACAAGCAATAATTCATTTTACGATGTTAATGCAAACTGTTACTATCAGCCAAAATCAATAAAATAAAGAAAACTAGTCAGTATACATAAACGACATCACTGACTAAACATAGCAAGCGTATTGAGGATTTATCAATGTTGAAAGCGTGAGTCAATTGAAGCTAGACCACCATGGAAAACCTGGAAACACTGGACAGTTTTCCATGGTGGTCTAGCTTCAATTGACTCACGCTTTCAACATTGATAAATACTAAATCTCCACAAAACCCCTTCTATAATTAGTATTGAGTATTGCAAATAACTAATCAGATAAATAGTAAGTTACCAGTAAGAGCTTACTTTAACCTTTAATAAACTTAGCTTAGAGGAGTATCCAACTTAAGATGCGCATTTAATGAATACAAACAGAAAGAGTATGTCACACTAGTTAAACATGACCAATAATAAAAGTAAAGCACTACATTGAATCAAAATGTTTAGTCTACATAATAAAATTTAGAAACTCCTCTGACTTAAGATGGACGCCAACCATATGGAAATAAGCAGTTTCGCATTTACTTATGGAATACTTTCAAAGTGTAACAAAATGATTCATTTATTATTCTAGACGTAAAACAGTCGATAATAATGTCATGTATGTTGTTGATCTACAGTAACTCAATATGTATTTTTGATGTGACAAAGCACAGAACACTTCTTTTAGCTCATTACAAAGTAAAATTCTTTTACTGTAGAGTTGCATACAAAGTAACTTGGGCAGATTTAGTTTCCCTGCACTCAGCGAGTCCTATTTCAATTTCACCGATGAAATCCTCTACAAATAGCAGTTCATTAGCCATCAGTATACCTCTTCTAGCAACTGATTTCTGAATAAAAACAACTTTCGAGTGTTCTTTTTACTTCGTGGACAGAAGAAAGGAAACCACTGTATTTAAAAATATATGGTAGTGTGGAAACTATTGAACATGCATGAAACATAGTGATTAGTGAAACAGTCTTGTTAGGTTTCGTAACTCAACTTCAAATGCATTAATTCTCAACTGATTCAGAGAATTTAAATCTAAATTAAACCAATTTACTTCAGTAACGACGTATATGTTTGTGTTTAGCTTTGAAATTGCACTTAAGTGAAAGAGCAGATGATACTATCCGGTCCCTAAAGCGGAGTGGATAGAATAGGGTTCAAATATACGACCCCAGTTTGTTAACTATTACATAAACATGTTAATAAAGTAAATAAATAAGTATATGTTAAACACTTGTCCACTTAAGATACTCTATGTCAGTTGGCCGGATATCATCAGCAACAACGTACTCTGGAAGAAAACAAATTAACTTCCAGATGAAGGGGAAATTAGGAAAAGACGCAGGAGATTGACAGGACATCGTAGTATTTGTATGAACTATTGGTTTTTTTGTATCTGATTGTCCGCTGATTACAAATTCCAAATATAATACATTCATGCGTGATTACCTAGTTCTACTTGCTGTAAATTGCACTATTTCGGGAATTCCTAGTTAGTACATTAATTCGAATATTTCTAATCATCACACTGGCGTCGCGATGGAGCTTGTGATTGAACAGTTGGATATACATTCAAATTCTGAAGCTTTCAAAGATTAATTGGACAGGATTGAAATCTAGAGTGTGACCAGGAAAGATGTTAAGGATGAAGTTGTGGTTCATTTCCTCACATTCATCGGAAAGGATGCTCATATCTTACTAAAGAAATTGGTAATTCCAGATAAGCCTACTTCACTTCCCTACGCCACTCTCAAAGAACTACTACTTAATCATGTAAAGTCTTATTTTCGAATGCCATGAAAAAGCAAAATTTCATGAAATGATTCGCCATGACAACCAAAAGGTTAGAGAATTCATCCTTGAATTGTAGAAACACGCCGCCAAGCGTAATTCTGACCAACTTCAGGTGCAGCCGCGTGATCGATTGATTGCAGTGATTGACAAGCCAGTTCTGGAAAAAGAGCTTCTACAAATGCCGAAATGTTCCTTTCAAGGTGCTAGAACTGCGTGTATTAATTATGAAGCAGTGCATGAAATTGACTTCCAGAACATCAAGAATTTTACCACATTACCTAGTTATCCTAATCCGATGAGTACTTAAGATCATACAGGTAGGTGTTTAATTAACGATAATCCTCATCCTCGTGAAAACATGGATAATAATTCATTCAGGAATTGCAAAGCAGGTTACAGAGGTGAGCACAAGTTTGGTAAATGTTTATCCTGTGGTAAATTTCACTCATGTAATTTATGTGACTTTCGTCATGCTAAATGCTTTAAGTGTGGTAAGTTTATTATTTATTTGAACGCATAAATATTGGTACAAAGGGGCACCAGATATATATGCGCCACACAAAAAGTTGCCATTTCATTTAATTGTGTGTAGGCTATTATACTGCTTGGGTGCTCAAACCGAAGCAGGTGCTTTTTTAGGGGGCCACACCCAGGGCCTTCGACCTAAAGATCTGATCCACAAGGCAGTGGAGCGACGTTAGGAGATCCAGTCCCATGATAACCGGTGACCAACGATTGGTTTATACGCCATTTGTTCCCTTAGGATCCTGAAGCCCATGTGCACCATTGGTTTAGAATCAGGGTTTTCCAACTCCTTTTTCCAACCCTTAGATGAACTTCCTGTGTCCACCAACCCGGTTAAAGCGCTGGACATTCGCTTTTCGTCCTCTCAATTTCGTAAACAACACCCCAGCTACGAGAAGGCAGTGAGTAGGACTTCCCTGACAGAGGCTGTATACGCGTGGCCGTGTGAGAGCATTTCGAGAGAGGGAGGACCCTCCCAACTCTCAGCCGTACCAGGGCATTAGGGGATAAGTGTGGTATAAGGGGACACATTCAGTCGGTTCTTAAAACTACTGTTCATATGGTCGCAAGCAATACAACACTTTGTAATTCATATCCTATTAATTCGAATGGTTCTAATAATCATATACTATCCTTAGTTACGACTTCTTGTAATTCACTTCATATTCAAAAACGATTATATCTGTCCAGTGGTGTTTTTCATGATCTAAGTGTTGGCACTAGCAGCATCAATTTCATAATTTCAGTTGGGAATTTGAAGTCATTAAATCCTGATGCCATAATCAAGCTAACAAAAGTTTTTATTCCGAGTACTACAGGTCATAAACTTTCTATTTTTCGGTGCTGCAATTTGCCGATTAAAGACGATAAACCTTTAGTCCTAAATTGTGAATCCCTCATTCAGTCAGTCAGTTACAACGTAGAACTTCGTACGTACGTACATCAGTTCGAGTTGCCATACCACATTACCACAGAGATGCAGTTGTCGATTCAAATCCCATAGTGGTAGAAGTAGTAGGAGTATAATCAGAAATCCAAAAGATTAGGGTTTGAAGAAATTATTGAAGGTGTTTAGTACAATGAAATAAATTTGGAAAGACAAAAGATAGAGACATGAGGAATTCAGAAGATTAGAATTTGGTAGAACACAAAGAGTGGATGCACCTTCGCCATGTCATTCAAGGTCTCTAACCATCGATTGCTATCATCTCGCGAATCCCAACCAGGTATTCTACACCTACCAACATGGCCCAGTCCACTTGTCAGTGACTTTATGGATTTATGCCGTGTTTTGGTCTGACCGCCCCTAGCTTTCTTCCAACCTGCTCCTACACCATGAAACATTGCACGTCGGGGCAGTCGGTGGTTGGGCATACGTAACATGTGTCCCAGCCATCTCAACTGATGAAGTTTCACTACTTCATCAATCGATTTGCCATCCTTACCTAGTACCCGTTTCCTAACAACTGCATTACTTACCCAGTGGTCCCAGCATATACGAGCAATGCGTCGAAGACAACTACTATCGAACACTAGTAGCCTACGAATATCCTCTACTCTCATCGGCCATGTTTCACTGCCATAAAGTAGGACGGAACGAACTGCTGCACAGTAAACCCGTCCTCCGGTTGCTAGACGGATATCTCGCCCACGACATAGATGGCGCAAGTTGGCGAAAGCTAGACGAGCCTTCTGTATCCGTGCTGAGATTTCGTCACACACCAGACCACAAGGGCTGATGAGACTCCCAAGATAAGTGAAGCTGTCAACACGCTCAACTACTTCACTCCCTATCATTAGTTCACGTGTCGATGCAACCCAATCCTGAAGTAACAATTTGCACTTCGAGGGAGAGAATCGCATCCCGAACATGCCTGCATTGCTGCTTATAGTGGTCAGAAGACTCTGCATTTTGTCAGAGTCTTCACCGAATAAAACTATGTCGTCGGCGTATTCTAAGTCAACAAGTGAGCCTCCTGGTAAAAGTTCAACTCCAGGAGATTGAGATGATGAAAGTGCTATCTCTAAAAGCATGTCAACGACAAAGTTAAACAAGAATGGGGAGAGTGGACAGCCCTGACGAACACCACTTGAGGTAATCAATTCTGATGACAGTTCGCCATAGGCTCTAACTCGACCAGTTGAGTTCGAGTAGAGAGCTTTTATGAGGTTAATATACTTCGTTGGTACTCCTTTCAGTGACAAACACTGCCATAGAACCTCACGATCAACGGAGTCAAATGCCGCCTTAAGGTCAAGAAATACTACGATTGTGGGACGTCTGAATGTATGTCTATGTTCTAGGACCTGACGTAGAGTGAATATCTGGTCTATGCAACCACGTCCAGGTCGGAAACCAGCCTGGTTTTCTCTAGTCTGCTCTTCACGAGCTTTGGTTAGGCGTCCAAGTATTATTGAAGCTAATATTTTAGACACTATACTAGTCAAACGGATTCCTCTGTGATTGTCACAGGAAGACTTTCGTCCTTTCTTCTAGACTGGCACAATCAGTGATTGGGACCAGTCAGATGGAATTACGTCCAGTTCCCAGATTCTACCTAAGACCTCAGTCAATCTCGTTGCTAGTACTGGACCACCATTCTTAAGAATCTCAGGGGTAAACTTGTCAGGGCCTGCGTCTCTCCCTCGCTTTAGATTTCCTGTAGCTTTTTCAACCTCGTAGAGAGTTGGAGGACTTACCTCAATTTGCCATTCAGGACGACTGGGGATCGTGGGTAACTGAAGTGTGGCTGAAGGCCAGTTGAACTGACCCCTAAAGTGTTCTGCCCATCGATCCAATCTCCTGGATTGAGAATGAATGATATGCCCATCTTTTTCCGAAATAGTCCCGCTGCCAGTTGGGTTCCTGATACCGTTTCCTTTGACAATTCTGAACAGTTGTCTGCTATTGCCGCTGCCTTTTCCATCTCTCTTGCTTTCGCTACCCACCACTGTTCACGATCATTGCGTAGGCTTCTTATTAGCCTTCGCTTAAGCTGACTTCCCTCATTACTGATTGTGGATCATCTATCCTGGGTCTAAATTTAAGAATGCTTCAGGGAAAGCTTTCTTTACTGACTAATGAAGCGCTTGGTAAATAGTTAAGTACGGAATTAAAGTGCGAAGAATTGTGCACGACTCTAAACTCCCCTCATTCTCATGTGCAAGCAAGAAATTTCAAAACCCTAAAAGCAAATGTCAATTTTACTACTGCTGCAAAATTCAAAGACAGGAGAGGAGAGGAGATAAAGTTTCTCAGTGCAGAATTACTAGACCGTACGCAAAAGAAACAGTGATGAAATTATAAGCAAAGATGGATAGTGGCCAACAGCGGAATAGAACGAAACGCGCGTCCTGGACTCCACTGATAGCTGCTATCCGTCTCCGCTTATAATGCTTGTGACTTAAGGCAATATCGAAGCAATCCGCACAAGATGCATATATGCCAATAAGAGACTGATCAATTGCAGTCCTAAACATCACTGGGAATATTCAGACCAACAATACAAAATGAATTTAAAGTGATGAAAATTTCCTAAGCTATTGTTATATCCTGGCGAAAACATAAGTGCAGGTAACTTCCGGGACTTATTAATGGACTATTATTCTATATATATTCTTATTGTACAACTATTCAGTGATTAGATTTAATCTATACATATTCTTATTATAGGCTTCATTTTGACCTATGGATTACTATTATAATACGAATTACTGTTCCTAAAGTATACTCAGTTTATTGATTATTGTACCCCACATTCACAGCAACATTCGGCTTGATCTTGTATAAATATTATTTTCTATTTTATGGTGTAATGCGGTCTGTCTGGTATATAAACCGAGTATGTTTGAAATAAATGATTCGCATAGAGTCGTATAGCAGAAGCTGCAATCGGTGTTGTGGACTCAATTGGAAGGGCGGACAAAAGACCAATAAAGACGCTAGACTATTCATACTGGTTGAACGTCATTGATTTGTCACAGTGTTAGGATCGGAAAGGTCGTATTTCGATTGGTGGATAATCCACGTCATAAAAAGCCGGACAAGAAATCAATAACGAATTAGCATACGTCCTATTTATTTTTGAATTCATAACAGTTATCCCAAAGACAGAAGGCGAATACGTACAAAACCGCAATTTCATAGTAATTTTAACTTCAAGAATTGCATATATTTGTTGTGTATTGATATTGTTTCATCTGGGACTATGGTAAAGTCTAATTACGAACAATTTAGACACACCTAACAAGAATGGAAACTAATGCGAGCACGATAATACGGCAACGGACATACACGTCTTAACAATAACCCCCAAATGATGGAATCCAAGAAGGTAAAAGTGCAGAGAAAGCTTGATATTTAACGAGGAAAAAATTGAACAACTATTTGTGTAAAGCAACAGAACATAACTTCGAGATACAGGAAAATTAGCAAACTAGGAATGATAACCAATCAGAGAACATAAAAGGTCGTGTGAAATATGAATCAGAGATGTTATGGAGGTTATTATTACAAAAAAGAAACCAACACTAATTAACAAAAAAACTGGAAACATTTTTGTCTTAATGAGCAGGTGGTCTATATGAAGTTACCTTACGCTATGGACATACTTTTATCGAATGGTATCGATTACAGACTTGTTCGCTGACGACGCTTAGCTCAAGTGTTAAACAAACTTGACTTAGATTTCAATCAGCACGACTTCATAAGCAACCCAATAAGCGATTTTCTAAAGCGAACTAGTAAAGTAAATATTGATTCAAGTTATCAGCTGTAGTAGCGGACGTTAATAAAACTTTGAGTATTTACAGAGCTTATCTGATATGATTACATAAGTCAATCATTAACAATTTAGTGGCTCCAGAACTGAAACTCTGTCCATAGTTTAGGAACTGCAGGATTGAGATATAAGTGGCTCCACACAGAAAAGCAGTATTTTTAAGATACCCCAAACATAAATAGCATAACAGATCGGAAAAAAAGACTAACCATACACAATTTTATTGTAGATATTAAGAATTAGAAGTATAGCTAATTATACTATCCAACTATTCAACTACTGGTAGCTCTAATCATGAGGTTTGAACGTTCAACTTGAAGACCACAAACCAAGTTATTAAGTAACTGCAACACATCTCCAGAAGAATGATTCTTTTATGTTTACGGAACCCTAAAAGTAGACTAATTCACCAGTGAATCATAACTTACACATGTAGATCTAGAGATTTCGCTAGTCATAGGATTTAAAAAGTTATGTAACGGGATAACAGGTTTGCATGACAATAATAAAATACACATAACAAACACGTTTTGAGGTCAGTAACACAACAATGAGTAAGAGATGATGAAGTTTCACATAATACACTGACTCAATTTACTCTACCAAGTGATATGCATAACTTTTGATGACAAATTGTCAAGAATTATACAACAAGCAGAGATAGTCAACTTTTTAAAAGTGTTATTTTACTGACAATCTAGTTTGTTTGTTTCACCCCACTCCTAAAGAATTAAACCTAATACTTCTGGATTATACTTTAGTTTAGTAGTCTTTATAATTTCTTAAAATGCCTAATAATCAGACTCTATTGATGAATCTTTTAATTGTATGTAATTTTCGTACTCAACGTGATGAGTGCTAAGAATTCCTATTTCCTTTAAATGAATTGTTATACTAGTCATATTTACAGCTCTTAGCATCAGCCCATTTCTTAATCAAGAACGAGTGGGTCCCATGATAGCTATAATCATGGTTTGATTATGTATAAATAACTTCAAAAAAAGGATCTATAGTTATAAAATACTAAGTTATTTGGATGAAAAGCAAGTGGATTCACTCAGTTTATAATTAGTATGAATGCGAATTAATTACCAAGTCAGGATAACACATATATTTCGAAACCGTAAACGTACAACAGAATGTGTACGAAATGATAACTCACATTTTCAAAAGAACTCCGACTTTTAGATAGATACTTCCAGCGTTCAAGTAACTCGAGGTGCATAAACCAAAGAGACCAGCCTCTGTGAGTTAACTTATCGATATTCTCAGTAAGTTTACAGATAAGGAAATCAAAAGTTTCACCTCCATATAAATGTGGATTATTTTCGACACTAAACATCTGGAGCTGTGAAAGTAACCAGCCAGCGGCGGAGAGCGTTTGCATGGATCTTTTGAGAGAGATATGCTCAGCCTATATAGGTATGATATATACAACCGTTAAAGACAACCATATCACAATGATTATTAGAATTTATTTGAAAAAAACCCAAACATGTTGATGTTATATCATTCAAATAAGATATAATGATATACCTTAAAAAGTGAGGTATTTGGATACAGAACATATTACTCTTAAAAAAGAGAACGCTTCATGCACTGAATCACCTACTTTCCTCGTTATGGTTGGTGGTAAAAGTGCTGTTGGCGATGGCTTTGTGAATGGAAATAAAGTAGAGAGGCCGAAAATACAGTCAGACGTGGGCCTAAAAGTTAAGCGGTTCCGGACATGCTATTTCTTTTTGTTGTTGAGAAAAGAGTGCCTTGTACTCTTCTAAGACTGCACGTGAGTGAAATAAACTTCTTCACACGGAACCAGGGAAGAATAATCATTTCAGAAACCACTGCTGGACACTATGGTACTCAGTAATTGACATATGATAGCGATTTTATATAAGTAAATGTGTACAGACTAAAGCTTTCAAATGTAATAGGATCTATGAATCCCCTGAAAAGTATTATAGGCGGGTCGTAAATCTAAAGCCTGATCCTTCAACACAATGGGTGAGCAGATTTTCTATCTCGTTCCCAAACCCAATGAGAAACAAAAAAGAACATTATACTAGTAGCAGTACTTATCTGATGTAAAAGTTAGCTGTTATAGGTCTGAGACCCATTTTCTCGGTGCTTTATTAAAACTAAGATTGGGATGTATGAAAAAGTAACTAATGGCTAACTAAGAAAAATGAAACATTTCTATGTGGTATTTCCAGAATAATAAACCGCTTTCTGGGGCCAAAACGCTTGAAAAAACCTTCATTTTCATACTTGTATTGTGCATCAATTTTCCAATTAACTATCATTGACTGTCACATATCTCGAACGTAATCCACGTAATCAAGTGGTATCATTTACACTAACGAAAAAAAGATGGAACCTTATACACAAATCTATCTGAAGTGTGGCCTCTTAAAGGTTGGCAATTGTGTGACAGTGTAGTCAGAACTGGAAGTAGCAAGAAACGTAAAATATTTAAAAGCTATTTAGGCCCGCTAAATTCGTTGACAGGTTTCAAAAAGACAGGTGGTGTTTATTACTATGAGTCAGGTTAGTTAATACCAGTCAATATCAATAAGCTCCCTTGATAAACACTAGTTTAAATCCGTATCTAACTAAATGGCGAACTGAAGAAATTTAATAGATGTTTTTGAAACAGCATAGAAAATCTCTCGATCGGTTACCTTGATAGGTAGGATGCTGTTTTACAACTATAAACCCTTTGATCATTAGATGTAGATAATATTTATTGGTCTTTTGAATACTTCAAAATAAAAGGTTGGTTATATTCGCCCCCTGAGTACCTTTAAGTAAACACAAAATATAATCAAATTGCAACCACAAATATGTATTTGGCAAAAACTTACATTTTTTACTATTACTAATGTCTAAACCTGGACACGTAAAGTAGAGGAACAAGTATACATTGACGTAAACTGGTTACATGAAATAATTCAATAATTAGTTTGTCCCAGTTACTTCAATTTTAGACGATTATAGACACAAAGTATGGATTAAATCTTACCTATATATCTGTTGATCATAGGAACTTTTGGAATTAAAATAAATAATGGAGGTGTAATGTAAGGAACGACAAAGGGTCTACTAACACAAGCTCACGACAAAAGAAAACTAACCTCAAGGACACTCATATCCGAATTCAGACTACATGTTCCTCTGATCGACTTGGTTAGTACGGTCTGCAGGTCAAAAGTTCCTAGTTAGAAATTTAAAAAGTAACTAAACTATAGTATGAGCTTGGAAGTGCAAGGAGAAAAAGTGGGGGAATGGAACAATCATGTACTAGTCCGAGATGTCGCACTTTATATAAATACAAGGAGAAGAAACAACCAACCAATAGTAGCAAGTAACAGAGAAAAAAGCAGGAACGGACAGTCGGGTTTACAAAGCAAGATTATAGAAATTTTGAGTGCAGAAACTAAATACATAAATGATATAGATCGAGTTATTTTACTGCATCTTTGGTGAGATAATAATCATTTTACAAAACTAAGTAGAAATATGTACATCTTTCTAGTCTTCAGTAAATAATTTTGTTTTGGTGTGACCACTTCACTTTTTCCAACCTTTTCATGAGTCAGGATTGATTATAATTCCAATTTGGGAAAGGGGATCTCCAACTTTGCGAAACTGAGATTTAAAATGGATTCTGAAACTTTTAAAGATACTCGAACGAAATACATTCTGACTGATGAACCATTTAGCACTCCAAAAAAGAACGAAAATTAGTTCGACTAGAGAACTGGGAAACCTAATGTTTAAACCTTTCTCATTATAGTTCTGAGTCCGGTAGTCGAAAAATGTGCTTCATAAACGCAGCACTATTGAGAACTCTTTGCAGGAAAGTCGTGGTTGTTACAGATAATAATGAATCGTAGTTTAAATGGATCACAAAAAAATGTTGTTTATCAGAGACGCATAATACTTATTCACAGTTAACCATGATTAATGAGAACGTCCCCAGACTTAGCTAAGTATGATCTCTTACCCAAAGATATGTTAATCGGTTCAGTGTACAGATGGCATTGCTGTGTAAGGAGGAAATATTGGTAATACATGTGGGAACGTTAACATTGTTTTCAGTTGCATCTCTAGGTCATAGGACAGTCACTTTTACCGTCCTAAAGTTTCCTCCATGGTTCTGAAAACATATCTTACATAAACTATGTTTGGTCATGAAGGACACAAGTTGACAGCCACCCACAAGTCTATTACGCAGAAACCTTGACGATATTGTACAAACAATAAGATAGGCACTGCTAATATACATAGGTATTTTGCAAGGAATACCTAGAAAAATATAAACAGAAACGACTAAATATTAGACAGAACGTAAACTAGGATAAATACGTATCGTGCACGTTGTAGATTATAAGTGCTTTTAAAGTATTCCCTTGATATCTTTGAGCATCCAGATGATCAATGCTTAGGTTTAAGATACCAAGTAAAGATGATAATTGGTTTATGAGAATGTGAATGCTTATCGACTGAGGTGGCTGGCACGTATTACTTATCCCCAGATATTACCTTCCTCAACATAAAATGTCGGTCAAAGTAGAAGTAAGCTGGAAAAAAAACGAAGGGATAAGGAAGCTACTTATGTCTGTCAACATAAGTAGTATGTACTATCCTTCAACCGAAAGTGTGTTCGACAGATATTGTGGTACTAGTCGGAGACTTAAATGCTCAGGTCGGGCGTTTAGGCACAGAAGAGAGTCGTTTAGGTGGCCGATAGAGACTTGTTGGTCTCAAATCAGATAACGGAGACCGCCTACTGCAACTATGCGCAGGCTACAACCCGTTTCCAGCTAGTACTAACTACCGGCACAGTCGTCATCGATGTGCCACCTGGCGTCCTCGCTCTGTATCTCAAGTCTGGACTCAAATTGATCACATCGCGATAAGCTACGGCTGGCGAGGTTGTGTACAAGACTGCCGGTTCTTTTAGAATACCTATCCGGACTCTGATCATGCTCTTGTTTGCGGTAATCTTACCTCACGTTCTAGTGGCCAACAAATTCATCATCCTAAACGAAGTTGTATCCTACCACAATTTTACACAAGGTGCCAAAGACTTATGGAGCAGATAGGCAAAAAGTAAAATTCTGTAGTTTGTTGATTGAGTGAATCAACAAACAACTTTAAGATGGAAATGATTTAAAACATAGATAGATGGATGGAGTAGAAGATGGTGTTTCGAACGGCAAAGCTAAGCAATCGAACAATGTGACTCGGAGAACATATCACTACCAAAGAATAAACAACTGCTCGTATATATCATTACTAAGGTTTGACTTGATAATTTCGATTAATTTGAGCATTGAGTAGAATATTAATATTCGTGCGTTATTCCTTTGTACTATTTAAACTTGGATTATTTATTGATTTATTTATTTGAACACAAATAATAATAATAAGGGGCATCGAATACATATGTGCCACACAGGTCACTTGGTTTGTGTGTGGGCTATCATACTGCCCGGGTACCCAGACTGAAGCAGGTGCTTTTTTAGGGGGCCACACCCAGAGCCTTCGACATAAAGATCTGATCCACAAGGCAGTGGAACAACGTTAGGAGATGCAGTCCCATGATAGCCGATGACCAACAATTGGTTCATATGCCATTTGTTCCTTCCTGGTCCTGGAGTCCATGTGCACTATTGGTTTGGAATCAGGGTTTTCCAACTCCTTTAGGTGGATCCTCAATATCCACCGACCCGATTAAGGTGTCGGACATTTGCTTTTCGTCCTCTCAATTTCGTAAACAACACCCTCGCCGAGAAAAATGAGTAGGACTTCCATGTCAGTGGCTGTATACGCGCGGCCATATGAGAGCACTTCGAGAGAGAGAGGGAGAGAGAGAACTGACTCTTCCCACCCTCGGCCGTACCAGGGTATTTGAGTTATTTATTCTCAGACGAAATGGCTCACACTTAATCACGAAAAGTCAGAAAACTTTTCTACTCATTGGGATATTACAAATATATTTTATTTATAACTGCTTGTATATTTATCATACTATTTAGAAATTTATAAAATAACCAAATATTGGTACACTTACGTCTACTGATTGAGCAAAGCTTTGCCTCCGTTTCTTGGACGTCCAGTTCAACATCTATAAATAACAAATAACGCTTTGATGAAGTTAAAATCGTCTTTTTACAACATTGGGTTTGCAAATCCTGTGAAATTACGGTCTCTAACCTCTTATTGTACGTGATGGGTCGTGAAATAAGCTCATCGGTTGAACGAGATTCGTAATATCATTCCACATGGTTTCGATTTCTTGAAGTCGATTGGAAATACTGACACCAAGAAAATCTTCCGGTGATTCAGCAGATATAACAGTTGCGGAATCAGAGGTCTTTCCGGACATAACCAAAAGCTGGTTGGCCAGGGAACGTAAACGATTGAGGTCAACGTCTCGATTGTTAATACACCCAAGGTAATTCTGAAAATTAAAAATGACATCGATGTAACTTCCTAACAAAAACTCCTATTCTTAATACATGTATGGACAGTTGGTACATTTTAATTCATACAGTTTTTTTTCCTTTTCCCAACTTTAATAACCTGTCGTTGTAGATAATGAAGTGCCTTGCGTAAAATAAAGCCTAGTACTCTTCGGTTTATGTAGATTTACAGATGTACAAACTGATGCTTTTATTACTATATCCAGATAGTTCTTTAAAAATACCTACGATAGAACACCTGAAATCTAAAGGCCTCACACTAAAAAAACGAGATATACAGAAATTATTTAGCATCCAACTTGCAAGGCAATAAAGTGTGTTGCCGATAGTGCTATATTTAAAAAATGAAGCTGTGCCACAGAGGATTCATACTAATAAGGGCGCAAGCATAAAAACCAAGTTAATATGGGCGACCATCAAAAGGGTGAATATTAATAAAGATGATCACTGAGAGGAAAAATAACATGTCTATGATGCAAAATATATTCGACCTAATCTCTATCTCCTTGCCTTACGATCAATGAAAAACGCACATTTCTAAATGTATAGTGAAGAGTCTAATTTCAACAGATACTTAAGGTTTTTGAATTTAGTAACAAATTTTTATTGTTGTTACCCTAGGATATAATGTATTACAAGGGACGTCTGTGTGTCGGTTTCCAATAGATCAAGAGCTCGTTAGACAAATTCAGGCGACAGAAAATGTAATGACACGTAAAATAAATTTAAATCTATTTGTTTTTCAAGAAAATATTTTGTTCGAAATGAAATAACCGGATACAAACTCAGATAATTACATCCCAAGTTATATTTTTCATACCAAATGGGAGTAGATTCGGAATACGTGAAGAGCTGTAAGGGCGAGAAACATGTCTTAATTCTAAAATTAAAAGGTTATAGTCGGCATTGTTTTTTAAATATGTTCCGTAAACATTATTTTATGTACTCACAAGCGAAGCTTAACTAAAATTTATTTTGTCGACTGCCGACGTCCAAGGGTTAGATGACTAGGCTTTATTTAATATTAATCAGATGAGCAAAAGAAACACATTATGTGGACCACATGAAATTATTATTAACACAGGATTATTATGTATATGAGTCAGACTCATTTATCCAAGTTGAAATCATACTCATACTTACGTTTGACAGACAGAAACGTCAAAACATTCCTTCAGATTGGTCAGCTTAAGTAAAAAATCCAACCAAACTACAACAGTATCTTGGATGATTTTGCTGCAGATTCGATAGCGGTTTAGCAGTGCAATTTGTTCCTTATATAACAAGCTGCTACCACTGTAAATTACACGATAATGCAACTTGTCAGAAAACGATTTGCCCACAATTTGGATGATGACCACACTCTACATTGTGATGCTGTTTGGTTAAAAGTATATGATGTAGCCAGGTCATAACCATGACCTTGAGGTCGCAGATGGGACTCCCAAACTCTTGATTGGTCACAGTGGTAAAGATTTATTGATTCCTTAACTTGCCACAACCAAATACCAGAGTAAGAGGGGCAGAAATAGTATTACCGTCAAGAGGAAAGATTAGGGATAGAGAACACTATCCAAGAAAGTATGGATCAATCGAGTAAATTTAAAAAACTTTAAAGCGTTTCATCAACTTAAGACCTAAGGAAGGAAAGAGCCACGTCATATTATGTCTTCCATTATTGGTTACCACGGTCATGTGGATCCTACGCATGTAGTCTGCGCCTACCTGTAAAGCGCAGTCCAACCATCCATGTGTCCTTGGACTGACGCTATAACTTTAGTAACAGTACTCCTACTTCAGAGGGAAATCGAACTCCAAACTATATTTAATTCATTTTGCAGGACATTAAAAGTGAGTTCAGGTTTGAACTTGGTGAACATACCTGATTCATATAAGCTTCTGAACGACTAACATATGCCAAACGTCCTTCAAAAGCCAGTTTACAAACTCTCTTAAGCCACCTCTCCAATTCCTCAGACAATAAACAGAACTGGGCGAATAGTTTGGCGTAGGCGTATATTGTTGTGTTTTTTGGTAAACGATTGTTATTTGAAAATCTCTAAAATGCAGGTTAACAAAAATATAGATCATTACTTTGCCCATTAGGGAATAGCACTCATCACGAAGATCAAGAAATGATTGTGTCAACAATAGTGGAATGTTATCCAAAGCCATAGGGATGCTCAATGGTAGTTTAGCCTAAGTTTCAATGAAACTACTTCAACATAAGTACGTATATATTAAAACTACCGTAAACTTTCCAATTATTGCAGCGACAATTTAGTTACCAAATAAATCACAACGAACAAATAAGGGGATCCCTTCGCGGGTAAGATACTGACTAATTCAGTCTGAGTTTAAAAGACGCGCGAAAAACAGGGCTCTCAATCTCGCGCTGGATGTACAAAATGCAAATCAAATCTTGAGGCATTGGCATGGAGTAAGTGAGAACTGGAAAGGTGCGAAGATTATCTGAGTATATAAAGGCATGAAGAACGAGTTAAGCTATGTGTTCTTGCAAATATGTTACGTGTCGAGTATTTTGGATGCTTGTGAACAGCATTTTGCTGTCACATATCGGTTTTCGTAATGTTTGTGTTTATCCCAGTTTGTCGGTAGTATGACTTTGTTGTTCATCACATAGACCAATGTTAGGTCAACTGTAATATGTTTATTTGTATCAGCCTGAACTCCAGCAAGTAAAACGTACTAGTTATGAAGTCAGAAATAAAATCTAGTTAGATCTTTTTGACCAAAAATAAGCTCTCTATCATAAGGGATTTTACTGAACAAGGATGTCTAGTAGTTATTGGAGGCGATTCTGTGTTAAACCATTTTTGAAGATTTTATAAGTTTCTGGTGCACAAATATAAACAGTTCAAACCATTAAAAGTATTATCATTTTTGACGGAACTAACTTATCAATGTGTAGCTTATCCGAGGAGGAAAAATTATATGAGTAATAATTGACGCCGACAGCCTTTTCTTTCCGCTTTGTGAACTCGTACAACAACTGGATATAACATTACATTATGTATCACACTAAGTAATAGCATATACTTCGTAATCAAAACGATGCATGTTTGTTCTCGACATGACAACTGAAACATAATGTTAGTTAATACAACTTCATGATGTTTATGTCATAGAATTAACGAATGAATTTCCGTAAACAGAATCTCCAGCCAGTTACCAAATTATGGAGAGAGATCTAATGCATATGGGTATCAGTCATTCACAACGTAGAACTTCGTACGTACGTACGTACATCAGTTCTAGTTGCCATACCGCATTAGCATAGAGAAGTTGTCGACACAAATCCCATAGTGGTAGAAGTAGTAAGAGTATAAGCATTATCTGAAAGATTGGGTTTGAAGAAGTTATTCAAGGAGTATAATACAGTGAAATAAATTTGGAAAGACAAAAGATAGAGACATGAGGAATTCACAAGATTAGAAGTTGGCGGAACATAAAGAGTGGATGCACCTTCGCCATTGCAAACGATTTTGATCCATATAATTCAAGGTCTCTAACCATCGATTGCTATCATCTCGCGAATCCCAACCAGGTATTCTATACCTACCAACATGGCCCAGTCCACTTGTCAGTGACTTTATGGATTTATGCCGTGTTTTGGTTTGACCGCCCCTAGCTTTCTTCCAACCTGCTCCTACACCATGAAACATTGCACGTCGGGGCAGTCGGTGGTTGGGCATACGTAACATGTGTCCCAGCCATCTCAACTGATGAAGTTTCACTACTTCATCAATCGATTTGCCATCCTTACCTAGTACCCGTTTCCTAACAACTGCATTACTTACCCAGTGGTCCCAGCATATACGAGCAATGCGTCGAAGACAACTATTATCGAACACTAGTAGCCTACGAATATCCTCTACTCTCATCGGCCATGTTTCACTGCCATAAAGTAGGACGGAACGAACTGCTGCACAGTAAACCCGTCCTCCGGTTGCTAGACGGGTATCTCGCCCACGCCATAGATGACGCAAGTTGGCGAAAGCTAGACGAGCCTTCTGTATCCGTGCTGAGATTTCGTCACACACCAGACCACAAGGGCTGATGAGACTCCCAAGATAAGTGAAGCTGTCAACACGCTCAACTACTTCACTCCCTATCATTAGTTCACGTGTCGATGCAACCCAATCCTGAAGTAACAATTTGCACTTCGAGGGAGAGAATCGCATCCCGAACATGCCTGCATTGCTGCTTATAGTGGTCAGAAGACTCTGCATTTTGTCAGAGTCTTCACCGAATAAAACTATGTCGTCGGCGTATTCTAAGTCAACAAGTGAGCCTCCTGGTAAAAGTTCAACTCCAGGAGATTGAGATGATGAAAGTGCTATCTCTAAAAGCATGTCAACGACAAAGTTAAACAAGAATGGGGAGAGTGGACAGCCCTGACGAACACCACTTGAGGTAATCAATTCTGATGACAGTTCGCCATAGGCTCTAACTCGACCAGTTGAGTTCGAGTAGAGAGCTTTTATGAGGTTAATATACTTCGTTGGTACTCCTTTCAGTGACAAACACTGCCATAGAACCTCACGATCAACGGAGTCAAATGCCGCCTTAAGGTCAAGAAATACTACGATTGTGGGACGTCTGAATGTATGTCTATGTTCTAGGACCTGACGTAGAGTGAATATCTGGTCTATGCAACCACGTCCAGGTCGGAAACCAGCCTGGTTTTCTCTAGTCTGCTCTTCATGAGCTTTGGTTAGGCGTCCAAGTATTATTGAAGCTAATATTTTAGACACTATACTAGTCAAACGGATTCCTCTGTGATTGTCACAGGAAGACTTTCGTCCTTTCTTCTAGACTGGCACAATCAGTGATTGGGACCAGTCAGATGGAATTACGTCCAGTTCCCAGATTCTACCTAAGACCTCAGTCAATCTCGTTGCTAGTACTGGACCACCATTCTTAAGAATCTCAGGGGTAAACTTGTCAGGGCCTGCGTCTCTCCCTCGCTTTAGATTTCCTGTAGCTTTTTCAACCTCGTAGAGAGTTGGAGGACTTACCTCAATTTGCCATTCAGGACGACTGGGGATCGTGGGTAACTGAAGTGTGGCTGAAGGCCAGTTGAACTGACCCCTAAAGTGTTCTGCCCATCGATCCAATCTCCTGGATTGAGAATGAATGATATGCCCATCTTTTTCCGAAATAGTCCCGCTGCCAGTTGGGTTCCTGATACCGTTTCCTTTGACAATTCTGAACAGTTGTCTGCTATTGCCGCTGCCTTTTCCATCTCTCTTGCTTTCGCTACCCACCACTGTTCATGATCATTGCGTAGGCTTCTTATTAGCCTGCGCTTGAGCTGACTCTGCTCCTCGTTACTTTCACAGCCAGATGTGATGAGTTTTCGAGGGTCTATCAGTGCGGTAGATGCTGCTGAGATCCATTGTTTCTCCCTAACCTAATGGTTTACCGTATTAGCAGATTTCGCTACCGTTTTCACAGCTTTTCGGATGTCATTCCACGCTGCCTCAGAATGAGCACAACGTGCATGGCTGGCTAACTATTCTTCTAGTTCTTTCTGGAAATATATTCTTAGCTTTCCTGTCTTTAAATAGAAGCCTGACAGGCTTCCTTGAAGCGTCATGCCTACGTCCAGCAAGACGCAGACAGATACGTCCTCGCACTAGAGTATGATGGGTGCATAATATCTAAACTGGACCCTTCAGTGATTTGATATTGTATGCAAACAGTGAGATATTGTCAGAATTATGAACGTCGTAACTACATTTTTCACATATGTGATTGTGAATCAATTTATTTTGTGCCTACAATTCGTTTGCAAATGCTAAACGACCAAGTTCGCTCATCCGAAGCTGTTAGGTTATTCTTTTCGGGTAAGTAAATGTGGTGAGGTCCAGTAGAGATATTGGTATGCGAGATCAAGACACTAAGCAACAATCATGATACTGCGCATACCACAAAGCAGAGAAGGATTTGTCGATGTTTATTGAAGTGATTTTGTGATCTTACTGGAGTAACAGACCACTTAAATATATGAGCACTTAAAATCCATGCAACTCAAAGGATACCCAAGCAACACACAAGAACTGAAATACTGAATGATCGCCTCATTCCAGGCCGTTCAAGGTCGTTGAAACGAAACGACAGGTGGCTTTGAGTTAGCCTAACATTTTTTACTGCCTCTAAAATGTTAGTAACTCTTTTTGATATATCTCAAGAATATTTTAAGAGCCATGTTTAGAAATAAACAGTATTGTGCTCTTGTAGTGTAGTGCCGCGATTCGTTAACCGTTTACTTCGATAACCGTTATAATTCTAAACTTAACGGCGCGTAAAATCAGAAGACAAAGGATAGCAGCAACTACAGTTTATTGTCGAATGACTCAGGTTCGGAAGCTAACAACACCTGAGCGAATATGAACGAGCGAGTGAACAGGCAAACAAGCGAAGGAAACGAACGAGGAGCAAGCGAGCGAGCGAGCGAGCAAATAGCAAGCAATTACATAGGCAATTTATAGTCAAATTTAATAAGGGCACAGCAAAGCAAAACAAAGGCTGATAATAATATTTGTGTGCGTACATATATGGGGAGGAGTATGAGTCATCGAATAATATTTAAGCAGTCAATATTTCGGCTAGAGTGTCATGTGCTCTAGTGTTATTGCAGTGCAAAGAATATGCAAATTGTTACTATCCAAATGACAATGTCTGTTAAGTAAGTTATAAAAAAGGGCTTAACCAAAATTGGTTATAATCGGAATTGATTGTAGGATGGTTGCTATATAACTCCCCCCTGCAAACAAAGATATATGAAAAAATGTCTGTGTTTGCATAAAGTACAGTAAATTGAATGGCGTAGTTACAATCAATCGTAGATATGGGCTTGTACAAAATTAGAATGAAATTAATGTGCATTTAATTCGTGCCCGTCCGTTAGGCTATACAAAATAGCCGTAAGATACAGAAGGAATATGGTATCGCTTCGAAAAAAAATTACAAGTATAAGCGTAAGGGTGTACATAAGCTGCGCCCAATTTAATAGCGTATAACATGAACTTAATAATCCATATGTATACACTGAAGAGGAAGAATTATAATTAATATTCAAAGTAGCAGAAAATTATCAGTAAAAGATTGTAGCGACATAACGTTGCGGCCATCTTACTCTGCGACCAGATCTTGTCGTTATCGGAGTCTCTTCGTTTTGGTGCGTCAGCGTCGTTGACTCCTGAGATTCGTGTTTCGTCGGTGTGATCGTCTTCGAGAGGCTTGTGCTTGTCGATTGAAAATCGCCATCGATGAAAGCTGGCTTCACTCGATCGATGCTGATTACATCTGTCTTCCAAGCTTTTTCTACCG